ATTCATTCATTCATTCATTCATTCATTCATTCACATAATTTATAGGTAGATCCTGTTTACTGATCAGTTATTTTCGTTCTCTCTAAAGAACTCTTTTGGACATTTTCTGAAAAGCCTAAACACATTCTCCTAGAAGTCTTTATGTATCCTTGACTTTTGATGGACCTTGACTTTTGATGGACCTTGACATTTGAGGGATTTTGACTTTTGATGGACCATTTGCTGTGATACAGATCCCAGATTGGTGGAATTTTTCCCCCTCAACACTTCAAATATCTCACTCTACTCTCGCATGATGACTGTAATTCTTTTCTGGAAAAGATTAACTTTATTTCTTTTAATTGCATGGGTCTGTGCATGTGTGTGGAATACCCTCAGAGGCTAGAGCATCAGATCGCCCTGGAGCTGGAGTTATAGGTGGTTGTGAGGACCGAGACTGAACTCAGGTCCTCTGTGAGGGCAGTAGGTGCTTTTGACCTCAGGCACTGTTCTTACTTTTCTGCCTCTCTGAGAGAATGTGTTTATTTCATAAGCAATATAGACAGCAAAGCCCAGACTGCATGACTTGGGATAGGAGCACAGTTGCCCAGGTAAGACAGCAGGGCGGGAAGGACACCAGGCATGGTAGAAAGAGAAGCCCCTCCTGGAAGCTCATGGTACCCATCTCAAAGGCAGGAGTGTTTCCTCAAATGACCAAATGCATCAGCTTCTTACTAGGAAAGGTGCTTGTTCCATCAGACAAATGATGTAAAAGATGGAGTTTTGGGTGTTTGTCCAGGAGCTTGGCTTTTTGTGAGCACATAAGTTACTGAACTTCTGAGTATTCACCAAATCCTGTTTTCTGCTCTTGGGATACAAGTGGACTGCAGTTCTCAATATCATTTGTAAATAGTCAGAGTCACATGGTTCTACAGTTACCAGTAGATTGTAGACAAATGGTGAACTGAAACAAAAGACAAACTTCAATTCGAGACCCAGCCCCTAAAAGCCTTTTTATGAGGGGCTGGAGAGATGGCTTAGTTCTTAAGAGGTCACACCACTCTTCCCGAGCCCCAGAGTTTGACCTCCAGCACCATGTTAGGTGGCTTACAACTCCCTGAACTCTAACTCCACAATATGTGACACCTCTGACCTCCACAGGCACATGTATGCATGCATACATACACATATACATACATATATACATATAATTTAAAATAAAATAAAATCTTCTTATAAATCTCCCTACTACCTTACTTCTCCTATCTGCTGGCAGAAACCCATCAGATGAGGTCCTGGGAGATGACAGCCACAGATGGAAGATCCTTAATGGCAGCATACATGACTGACCACTGACTACCTTCTGAAAAATGTATTATGAATGTTAATTGATTTAATTTATCAGCCACATAAATTTATTGTTGCTGCTGCTGCTGACCTTGAACTCACAATCTTCCTGCCTCAGACTCCCAACTGCTGGGACTACAAGTGTGCACCTCCGTGCTTGGCAACTCCATGGAATTTTTACAAACCTCTTCGTATTTTTGCTACAGTAATTGGTTAATACACAGGAGAAGACAGACTTGTATCTGTATCCATAATGGGATGGGAGCAGCTGTTAGGACTGTCAACCTTTCTATCAAGAGAAATGCACATCTTAAGAAAAAAGTATGCAAGAACCACTGACCCTCATGCTGATATATCCATTTATTTGGCAAAATCTTAGACTTTCTCTGAGTGAAAATATCAAGGAGAGAGCCCAAAGGCTCACAGCTGGAGTGAGTGTCCCCATAGGGAGCAGGCAGTGTTCCTTCCAGACACAGTCACGCTCCAACCTACACCAGCGGTGGACCACACAGAAACTAGCTAGAGTTTCATCAGTGTTTTAAAGGGTTCTCTGGAAGAGAAAAATTAGATGGTTAGACATCAGTATGCCCGGGAATAAATCCATATCCAAACAGCAATACCTCAAGCTCCAGAAAACAACAGAATTTCTCTGTTACATCAGGAGTTACCCTCAGAAATCAACTTTCTGAGCCACCAAGACAGCTTGGCATAGAGCACACATCACCAAGACCAAGCCTGATTACCCAACTTCGATCCCGAGGACCCAGATGATAGATGAAAACCAGCTCTCCCGAGTTGTCTCTGACCTCTACACACACAGCGACACACGTGAGTGTGCACACACTAAATAAATAAACTTTAAAATAAATTAAAGCAGTTTCCCCAAAAGGTTTGTGAGTGAGAAGACAGGTGGATACAAGGTCTTCTGGGGTCTGGCTGAGAGAAAGGAACCAGTTTGGGGTCTTTTAGACAAAGGAAGGACATATGAACGGGTGGGTGATGCTGTACGAGAAGCAAAGAAGCTGAGCGAGATTTGGGGGAGAGGAGAACCACCCCATGTCAGTGTCTCGGTTTCTTCATGAATGGTAACCTGCATTTAGAGATAGGAGGTTCTTGCTTTATCTGATTCTTTCTGTGGCTGGAATTTAGATGACTGCCATTTCCTGCAGCTTGTAAGTAGTGGGTTGAACAGTGTATGAGGAGCAGAACTCGAGCGTGCCCACGCCCTCATCTTCTTAACCCAAGCCACTCACCCATCGTCCAAGCAGATGTTTCCGCAGTACGTCCAGCAGCACGTCTGGTTTGGTCTCAAACATCTCAGCACCCTCGTGCACCTTGACCCACAGAATGATTTTGGAGGCTGTACCCAGCACTGGTTGATTTCGTTGACGTTATCTGGAATTGAGATGCTAAAGGTTGGCAGGGTCTACTTACTCATAATGTGCAGCAGAAATCCTTTCAGACCTTCAGACTGAGCAAACCCTTCTGGAACTTGGATGCTTCATGCCAGGAAGTATCTCTGCTGTCCATGAAAATCCCTCCAGTTCTAGCCAAAGATCATCCTTGCAATGACAGACATTCCTTCCTCCCAGGTGTCAGCAGAGCACTGTGGGATCCTGGGTCCTAAAGCTCAGACCAGGGTGTCTTCCCAACGTACACCACCTGACCAAGTTTATACTGATAAAGCCTTAGACTTCAGAGCCTGCAACCTCATCGAGTTCTGAATTCTGTACCCAACTTGCAGAATAAGAAAACTGATAGTAACCTCAATTTCTGCTTCTTTATTTGCTTCCCATCAATAGCCATTGAAGTATATGCCGCCCTAAAAATCACACTCTCAGTGTCCTGAAGCTTTTCTGCCCAGTTCCTCTGTTGCTTTCACTTCCTTATCGTGTGTGTGTGTGTGTGTGTGTGTGTGTGTGTGTGTGTGTGTGTGTGTGGTTTTTATAGGGACCCTCATTTATTTTCTCCATTTTCTTCAGGCCCTAAGTGCTCTCAAACCAAATGGATATGACTAATATCACCATTGTGTTATTCATCCATTTCTCGCCTAGCCAAATCAAGCTCAAAGAGAAACTTGGTGTTAATGTTTCCTTTAGGTGAGTCTAACTGAGCTGGTCTGATGGAAAACTGTGTTTCCTAGTACTCTGTGGGATGTGGAAAAGGCTTTGTTCTCTTTCCACGTTCCTGGTATTGCTTTCAGAGATGCAGAGGGAGTTTGGAGGGACACTAGATTGGAACCATCCAATGCAATCTAGCTGGGGTGTCTCTGCTTGAGGACAGCTCTGATTTTTAAAGTTTTTGTCGTGTGTGTATGTGTGTGTGATGTATGCATGTGGGTGCAGGCATGCATGTACCATGGTACACATGTGGAGGCCAGGGGACAACTTTCGAGCGGTCTCTCCACCATACATTCCAGGGATCAGGTTGTCAGTGTCCGGCCTTCTGAAGGCTGATTTTGAAATGTGGTCCCTAAGTCAGCGATGACAGATATGTCAGCAGTGGACAGAGCATCCTCATTGCCACACTACTGCTGTTGCCATGCTTACCCTTGAGTTTTCCCAGAACATGCAGAAACATCACAATCCCGTGGATGGACACAGTGAGGAGGAGCGTCCGGAGCCTCATGGCAGACTTGGCGTTTACAGGAAGACAAATCTTCATCCACTGCTGCTAAAAGCAGAAAAGAAAGGAAGGCACACTGGCAAGAAGCAGAAGGACATGCTGGGGGACATGTCCACTCTGTGTCCTGCCCTTCCTGTCCCTCTGGCCCCCACACGCATACCAACTCCCTCACTAGCCATCAGCTTCCCTGAGGCTGCTTCCCATCTCACACAACACACATATACTCACACACACATACACACACACACACACACACACACACACACACACATATGATTTTTATAAAGGATAATCGTTCATTTTCTCTGCCTTTTAGAATACATTGATTTCTCTATGGAAAACAATGAACCCTTAGATTATGTAATTTTTAAAGTACAAAATACACAAGGAAACAGAGAAATAATAATAATAATTTTTCTACCTGATGACCACCAGTATATGTGTATACTTTTACATTATACTCATTATTATATAAAATTAGAAAAAAAATAAAAAAGCCGGGCAGTGGTGGTGCACCCCTTTAATCCCAGCACTTGGGAGGCAGAGGCAGGTGGATCTCTGTGAGTTCGAGGCCAGCCTGGGCTACCAAGTGAGTCCCAGGAAAGGCCCAAAGCTACACAGAGAAACCCTGTCTCGAAAAACCAAAAAAAAAAAAAATTAGATACATCAAATGTCCTGATATTTTATTTAGAAACATATGTAATATGTTAATGCTCAATAAAAATGTGCATGTGTGTGCGAGCGCGCGCGCGTGTGTGTGTGTGTGTGTGTGTGTGTGTGTGTGTGTGTGTGTGTGTGTACAAAAGTAAAAGTACTTGTGTTTCTTCAAATATGCCACAGTGGAATTTTTTAGTCACTTTTGTGTGTGTTTTCTGAAGATGCCCGCTGTGTACAGCTAAAGTCGTGGATTCCTATGCTCTGCTTTCTTATCTGTTATAGTAACATGTGCATGTGTTTTCTAAAGATGCCACTGCACATCACTAAAGCTACATGTTCTAATACTACTCTGCTCTCCCATTTTTTTATTATTCAGTTAATATCTTGGTACCACGCTAATAAACATCTAGGTGATATAGAGAAGGCAGGTCTGGTTGGATTCCTGTCCCCTAACTGAATGGAAGCAGCTGTTATCGCAGTCTGACATAGTGTTTGTCAGCCACGTGAGACTGTTTAAAGTCACTAAAATCAAAGTGAAGTGTAAATTTTCAGTGATTTCCGACATTCAATAGCGACATGCAACTTAGATACGTTGCACAGACAGTTCATAGACCACATCCATAAGCATAAAAAAGTTTTACTGACCAATGCTTAGCTGAATGCAGACCAATGCTTAGCTGCATGCAGACCAATGCTTAGCTGCATGCATCTACCAAGAGGTCTATGCAGGAAAGCAATGGCAGAGATCCTTGAAAGGTCAAGTTGCAGGACTGAAGACAAAGAGGTGACTCAGAGGTTAAGAGCACATACTGCTCTTCCAGAGGACCTGAGTTCAATTCCCAGCATCCATGTGGTTCACAGCCTCCTGTAACTTCAGCTCCAGGGGATCTGATGCCCTATTCTTGCCTTGAGGTCACCTGAATTCATGTGCACGTGCCCCCGCCCAGCACACACACACACACACACACACACACACACACACACACACGCACGCACGCACGCACGCACGCACGCATGCACAAGCACATGCACACACCCATGCCCACAGGACACGGAAATTACAAACAATCGTGTTTGTCAGAGTCCACTCGAAGACACTTGTATGTGCTCTCCAGACTTCTTCATTCCCACATGCCACTCTCTTGCCTCAATGTGGTCAGATGATGGAAATGATGAAATTTTGAGACTCCATGGACCACTGGGCAGTATTCATGCCAAAAACTGCCACTTCATTAGTGAAGCTTCAGGCCTTCCAGAAATAGTCGACTTCCAGAAAGCTCACAGGTAAGTGACTCGCAATAGGACAATCAGCTAGCAGTGTCAGGTGTCCATTCCCTGAGGGCCTGGGGTCTTCTGATCCCGTGAAACCACCACTACATGGCAAGGCAGGTGTACAAAACGCTCTATCATCCGCTTAGAGGCAGGGGTGAGAGACATGAGCTGACTGGGTGAGGATGTGCATGGAAGGTGGTGTGGACTCCTGGAGCCTCCTCGGGCATAAAGGAGAAAGAAGATGTGAACAGTGGTATAACACATGGAAAGTGACAGTTCTCTGAAGCGGTTTGTCTGTATTTAAAAAACTGTCCTAGAGTTATGAATCTGTTCTTTTAAAGACCTCATTCTTTTTCTTCTGTATCTTTTTAATTTTTATTTTTATTTTATGTATACGTGTGGGTGTGGGTGGATGGGTGAGTATGGGTATTCACATTCATGCAGGTGCCTGCAAAGACCCTAAGGGGCACCAGATCCCCTGAGCTGCCTGATGTGGGTGCAGGGAACCCACCTCCAGGTCTCTATCTGCTGAGTCATCTCTGTGAGCCCCTCAAGGCTGGAGAGGCCAGGCCCTGCCATCGGGGACCTCCAACTGCCAGGTTCTACCCACAGAACACTCTGACTGATTTGAAATCCCACCAATCCCCACCTGGAAAACTCCACCCCGCCCCACCCCCAAGAAACCCTATGCAAACCCTGTCTTCTGCTCAGTTCTCTGCAGCTTCTTGCCCGAGCGGAGGCAGCCACCCTCCTCCCCTCCCAATAAATCTCTGTGTAAGGATTGTTGTGCAGTGTGACTGTGATATTCCTTGGCTCCCAACTGCCAGAATACCTTTCCCTTCAGAGCTATAACACTTTGGGGGAATCTTCACTGGCCTGAGCGGACCTATAACACGTGCAGTGGGGAAATCCATACACTGCCCCACCATCCCTCCCCATCCCCCTATTCCTGGGCCAGCAGAACCGTAACTGTCTCTATCTTTCACTTATTCTTCAGCAATTTCATAAAAATACACAATGTATCTTAATCATATCCACCCCAAATCCCCTCCCACTCCCTTGACACATCTTCCCACCTTCATACTCTCTCCTTTTCTGGGGCGGAGAGAACCCACTGAATCTAATCAGTGTGGATGCTGGGATGCTAATTGGTACTGCTGGCTTGACCCTGTGTGGGTACCATCACTGCAGTGAACTTATGAGCCTAATGGCCATGAGCCATGCAGTGTCCGGAAGACGGTCGTTCACAGCACTCCGTCCCATCCTCCAGACCTTACATTTCTTCAGCCTCCTCTCCCAAGATGTTTCCTGAGTCCTGGGGTGGGGGTGTTGATATAGATGTCCCATTTAGGGATAAGCAACTCAACAGTCACCTCTTCTTGCGATTTGACCCGTTATGAGTCTCTGCTGTAACCACTGCCCACTCTAGAAGTTTCTCTGGCCAATATTGAAAGCCATACAAATCTAAGACCTCATTCTTTTTAAAAAAGATGTATTCAGTTTTATTTTTACTTTACATATATGTGCTGCATGTATGTTTGTGCACAAGAAAAGGGTGTCAGATCCCCTGGAGCTGGAGCTACAAATGGTTGTGAGCCACCCAATGTGGGTGCTTGGCACAGAACTCCAGTCCTCTGGAAGGGTGGTCTGTGATCTTAACCACTGATCTTAGCCACCTCTCCAACCCCTAATACTTCATCCTTACTTTAACACTTTGGTCCCCAAAAGGTTCTCAGGATCCTGGTAGTGCCCAATGCCCTTCCTCACACACTTCCGGTGTTCTAAACGAACCCAGAGAAGGGAAGCAAAATCGTGGCCCAGTCCTTCTCACATCAGACCCAGAATGCCTCTCACCTTCAGTTCCATTCTTTGGATTATCTGAGGTAAAGTTTAGGCAATGAAAAGACCCTCAGTCATCAAAACGATTCAGTTCTACCACTCCCCCAAACTTGGAATCCTGGGTTCTCCCAACAGTGTAAAGAACCCAGCTGGACAGCGGTGTAGGTGAGTGCTTCATCTACATGAAGTGTCCCATGGGGTCTTGGGTATGTCGGTCATTCATCTCTTTCCCAGCATTCTTACTTGAATGGAAAGGACACCACCACCCATGGCACGGCAATAACATTGACACTATTCCAGGCAGCAGCTATTCTAAGCCAGCCACAAATAAAACTCAGCCTCCATGCTCTCACATTCCCACTTCTATGGGTGCTTGTGAGGACACACTGACAGCTTTTGTCCACACCTGGAACAGCACAGAGAAGAGCAGGGACACAGACGGTCAGTGGCCTAGAAGCTAGGGTGACTTTTGTGGTGGCAGAGTTTTAAGTTCAGCTCAGGAGCTACGTGTCGGCCACATCACAGACTCTTCCTTTGGTGCTCACCCCTCAGAAAGCACTGGACTGTGCTGACCCAGACGGTGCCTCTGGGTGGGCTGGGGACATTGTGTGCCTGCTCTGCAGCTCTGTTCCAATCCAGAATTCCTCAGCCACGTGGTACAGTCTTCTTCTGAAGCATCTGAGCTCCCTCACAGGAAGAGAGGAGTCAAAAGCACCTGTCGTCTGCATTGGCAGCGGTGGTATTCTGAGGAATGGTCTCACTCTGTAGCCCAGGCTTGCCTGGAGCTCACAGCGATCCTCTTTCCTCAGCCTCCTGAATGCTAGAATCACAGGACCATCACACCATATCCAGCTTTGTGCCGTGACCTTTAACACGGCATCCTGCTCACCTTTGATTCTCCTTTGATGATCAAAGTACAGGCTGCCACAAATGCCCCCCAGATTCTATGTAGGTGAAGAAACTGGATTTTTACAAAAGCTAGATGGCCGTCTAGGAAATGAAGGAAGTGGGGTGATCCAACCTAAAGCTGAGATCTTGCTACAGAGCTGTTGCTTGATGGGAGAGATTCGTTCACCAAATATCAAAGAGAAACATGTGAGGAGCTGGAGGCACGGTGCTGGGGGGAAAAGAGCCTGCTCTGTAAGGACGGGACCTGAGGTCAGATCGCAGCACCCACATTTAGAAACATCCTAGCAGTACTCACATGCCCGTAACTCCAGCACTGGGGCAAATGGGCAAAAGAGCATCAGTTTTTGCTGGCCA